ATCAGGAGGTGAGCGCGGCTTCTGGTGGAAACGATTAAAAATACTCTCTTTAAGGCTTTTATGAAGACTGCAAACAGAAGGTTTTTGAAAGAATAGGTTTTGATTTGTTGCTCCTCTGTGTTTAGGTTGGCCAGATCGGACTAATCGGGAAAAATGGTGGCCGCGAAGAAGACGGTGAGTGGAGCGCGGTGCTTCACGTGGAAGCTCCCTTCAGGCCCGATCATAAAAACCAACATGTTTTCATCCACAAATACTGAAATATAAGGTTTAAGTTACGCAGTGGAGCTGTTATCAGGCATTTCATTGTGCAAATGTTCATCTCTACGTGCTGTCGTGTGGGCTAAATGTTAGCTAACTTAGTTAAAGAGTGCAGCTGCTTGACAGGATGTTTCTAGTTCAGAGGAACTCGTTTGTTTTCTATTGTACGTTATATGTTAAATATATTAATGATATAGGTGTCTTCCGAAGAAGTGATGCGGCTTTATCAGTCAAACGCTTATTACGTTAACTGTGCAATGAATGTAGCACGGGAGCAATTCTGAAATGTCATTGAGATAAATTATTGAATTGTAGTTGTCTGACGCAGACGCGGTATGGTCACATAATGTGTATATACTGTTTATAAGTGCATTGATGTGATCATAGAGCGAATGGGGCGTGACTTTCTTAATAGATTTGGAAATGTAACTTATTTGTGTAACTATTATATTAATGTGCTAGACATATTAGTCTAGTGAGCAAGATTAATATACAGGATTTGCACCTCTGTCAAAGAAATGACTGGTATGAATATCTGATGTCAAATATATTTGACATGTTAGTCATTGTTTTGTAGAAGTGTATTTTTATGTTCTGTGCCATAGGTGTATTTATGGTTTTGTTCCTTCATCTTTTCAGAAAAAGTCCCTGGAGTCCATCAACTCCAGACTGCAGCTTGTGATGAAGAGCGGTAAATATGTTCTCGGATACAAGCAGTCTCAGAAAATGATTCGCCAAGGAAAAGCCAAGTTGGTAATCCTGGCCAACAACTGTCCTGCTCTGAGGTGTGTGCCGTTTACTGCTCTGAAATCTGCTGTCAAAATGTGAAAAGTTTGGCGTCTTAGTCAATACAATTGTATCTTTTTTTCTAGGAAATCTGAGATTGAGTACTACGCTATGTTGGCCAAAACCGGAGTCCATCATTACAGTGGAAACAACATTGAGCTCGGCACAGCCTGTGGCAAATACTTCAGGGTGTGCACACTGGCCATCATTGACCCTGGTGTGTATTCATGCATCGGTTTCTTTCAGTGGGAGAACTGATGTGACTTGATCTTATACTTTTGTTTTATCGTAACTTTCCATGTTAACTGGTTTAGTAGATTATGTGTCAAAGTAGATGTACATTTAAAAGGTTGCTGGTATTTTTGTGCTATTTTGATTCCGACGTGGAACTCAAGAGCACCTTAGACATTGTCTGTCTGTCCTTTGTATTCTCAACATTAATATTGTAGCATTGTGTCAGGTTAAACGAATTGTTCTGTCATTAATGCTTTTCTCTTGTGTTTGATAGGCGATTCTGACATCATCAGAAGCATGCCAGACCAGCAGCAGCAGCAGCAGGGGGAGAAGTAGAGCCATTTCCACCAGATCTTTTTAGAAATAAAATTGGTTGAAAAGGTCTTTGTTGGTTTTGGTTATTTTTGTCTCGGCTTTTGTTCAGACTTGATGTTTAATTGATAAAAGGCATAAAAAAGACAACATTTTTTCCCTTCTCATCTTTTGACCTTTGATAATGTTGAGGAACGGGATATTGTTTAGTCACTGTTTTATGTATTCAAGGTTTTTTTTATTATTCAAAAAATATGAACATGACATCTGCTTCTGGAATCCTTGATCTGCTCTTGGGATGTTTGTTTCCCAATTTGTTAAGAGCATGAACAGAATCCAATATTTTCAATATTTATGTGTGCTGTGAATTCAGCGTGAGCCACAGCAGTGGGGTGAAGACATTCACACCATCAATATGTATTACAATTTTGCCACTAGAGGGGGCAATATTTAATGCATTTTATTCTTAGTTTTGCAGTTAAATAATTTTATCTTTGAATTTTAAGTTAAATTATTTTTCTTAGTAGAAGACAGTGTTATCTTTTGGTTTGAAAATTTCTGTACTCCAGTCCTAAATTTGAATAAAATGTATAAACTGTTGATCCTGAAGTGTGTTACGCAGTCTTAAATGAAAGGCTTGTCGTCCATTGTGGATTTAACTAAAAAAGTAGTTGTATAACTTCTTTTTAGATTGCTAGCAAATATATTATGTTCATGTAGTTTTTCTTCTCTTGAATGGCACATACCAGTTTAAAAAACATTGAATGTATTATTATATAAAATTAGAAGAGGTTGACTTGCTTTTTATAGATTTGAGTATAAAATATATTTCATGAGGTATTTGAATTGCTCAATTCCATAGTTACAGGTGCATCTCAATAAATTAGAATGTCGTGGAAAAGTTCATAAAATTGAAAATGGTGTCATTGCAGTAGCTATGTGTCAGCAATAAATAGGCAGTGTGTGTAAACCAGGCAGATAAATGGATTTACAGAATTTGTCTATTGTAACTTAACTGAAATACTCTCTAAACAAGACCATCTGTGAGGGTTTTTTAATTTTTTGTATTGTATTCATAAATTTAATTTCAAAATCTAACATGCTCACATATTCCTCGGTGATTTAAGGCAGCCCTTGAGCTGAGGCTGAGGCATTAGAAATGTGCTGCTGCAACGACTTACTTTTTTCCTCCCAAGGATTTTCAGACCAAAATAAAAATCTTGATGGGCCTAAAGCAGAGAGATCAAACGCTCACTTCACTGAAGTGATTGCCCTAGTTTCCTCAGTCACGTGTAGTCGGTTTTGAAGTCTAATTCTTAAATACCCACACAGATAAATATAATCACCCTCAACTGAGCACGTTCAGTGAGCTTGCAAAAATGAAAGGATAAACAGGGAACTGGGGTGATTTTCACAAGATCGCAACAGTGCTTCAGAAAGGACCTTGGGCTGTTTTTTGTTTTATTTACTAAAGCATCACTGGACAGTATCTTGGACTATCAAAAATAGTACAATAGATGAAGAGGTACAGTGGGTACGGAAAGTATTCAGACCCCATTAAATTTTTCACTCTTTGTTATATTGCAGCCATTTGCTAAAATCATTTAAGTTAATTTTTTTTCCTCATTAATGTACACACAGCACCCCATATTGACAGAAAAACACAGAATTGTTGACATTTTTGCAGATTTATTAAATTCTTGTAACCAAAGTAATTAGTAAAACCCTAACATACTTCTGCTGAGGAATGACTGAAAGTAGGTGAATCCATCTCCTCTGGTCAAGCAAAGGTAATGCCACGCTTCAATTGTGAAGTCAATTCACTCGGATCTATCCCAGATCTCCCTGGACTTTCGCAGACACCAGGCAGCCATAATGAAGCATTACTGGAATATTTTATTGTTTAGAAATAAGACATAAGCCAGTGTAAACCCAATACAGGATGTGTAACAAGACAAAGACAAACATTCACAGACCTTCTACCTACTGACAGACATTGCTCTGGGTTTCTGAAAATTCATTTTGTGATAATTAATTTGATGAGAAATAGTGTGAGAATATAATGCTAAAATGTACAGGTCACAACTGATACCAAAAGCAATATTTCAAATACACATAATCTTTTAAAATTTGTGTTTCATAATAAAACTGCTTATATGAAGCTGATTCGGAGATGCTGAATTGAAGACAAAAAAAATCTACGCACAGAACAATGAAAGAAAATTCCTACATCTATCAATGTCTAACACTTTAATTATTTCTTCTATACCTAATGTTACCATGATGAATAAATGTAAGCATATAGTCATTTTCAGCTATGGATACATGTTACAAAATACCCTTGCATAGCCACTGTATATAAAAATCTAAAATGTTCCCAATAACAGCAGCTACTTTGAGCTAGAAGGTGACTGGGGGAGATGCCATGTCATCTGAACTCAGCTACGTGCTAATCTACCGTCAGGGGTCACATCGTTTACTTTTCATTTGTCACAATTACTGATTAACACACCGGTCATCACAGACAATAACACGAATGAATAATATTCATATGTGCAAAAACATTGCAGTCTGCAGCCACAGATTGTAACCTAGTGACAATGACAGAAAAGTTATACTACTTCTCTGAACAGGAGCATGTAACGTCACCAAATGACAAAAATGATTTCCTAACACCTATAATTTGCATTTATTCACCGAGCACTGTCTGGTTCAATGCAAGACAAGATCAGTCGACAGCATCTGTGGCATAATGTTGATTACCACCAAAATGGTCTGGTCCCTCGTTTTCTTAAAAAAAAGCATAAAAAAAAAAATCAAGGTATGTTAGGCACCTACAATGGAAGTGAATGGAGATATTTTAAAGGATTTTAAATGTGAAGCTTCTAATTTTATGAAAGCACTTTAATATTTCTGTTGAAACCTGTGTGTTATTTGAGCTGTAAAGCGGTTTAAACTATTTTTAGTCAATTTAGGGGTTTAGTGGTTAAACTGTAAAATGGGATATAACTTCACATAGAGAAAGTTTGGGATTTTTTCACACTAAAATCATGTTAACATGTCGTGTGGTGATGCTATTGAAAGTAATACAGTAAATATTTTCACTTTAACAGACTGGCCCAATTCACTAACATTCTAAGTGCCTCAACTATAAAGATGCATTTACATTACCAAAATTTTAGAAACATTTTGAGACAAAAGTGTCTATTGTGTATTGTTAATAGTGTAGTGATGTATGAAGCACAGTTCACACAGAAGTCACTTTCAAACCATGCAGCTTTTGTTCGTGGCGAATTTGTGCGCCAAACTTAATGTTCTTAAATCTTTTAACGGGGAAACTAAATTCCTAACTGCATGGACTCCTATTGAAAAAATGGTAAATGTGATGGAACCTTAACCCAAATATTAGCTTTTTTTAAAGTAAACAAGTGACATGTCCTTTAATTTGAAGTCAGACCCCTATGATGCATGAACTTGATTTCACACCTAAACCAATGTTATCAAGTATATTAAGTGTATACAGCTTTGTAACTGTTAACAAGCAGCAGGATCATTCAGTCTATTTGCGACATCTACACCATCTAAAACTAACGATTAGCATTTGACTGATTGAAAGAGAATATTAATCGATGCATCATGTTTTGGGACATTGTGTTTAAAGGAAGACTTGAAAGATTTCACTTTGTTAGATAAAATGGTGTAGAATTGCTCGGATAATTTTTTTTACAACTAATTTAATTATATTCTGAATAAAAACTTGTCATTTTGATTTCGTACAGTACAACGAAATTAAAGTGAAAATGCCGGCTTCTTACATTCAGTACATTTCTAGGTAACTCCCATTTCAAAAAAGTGCTCTGACGTAACTCCCGTGTTTATCATGCACGCCGCATTCAAATCTCAGGTATATCAGTAGACAATAACACTACTGAGAAATTCACAGTATTAAAAAGGCCAGATACATAATCGCCGAAAGTGCAAATCAGATTGGAGCTGACACAGCTGAGCAGCGTTGGGATGCCAGGACAGCTGGGCAGCCTTGTCGAGGGAAGGGCGTCTCAAAGTCATGCTGCTGCCTCCAGAGAGGAGACTTACGTCACACAGCGACAAACAGGAGACCGGGGCAACGGAATGGGCTACTGTGACGGAGAGTGTTTCTTTGGAGAAGGTTTGGGAGGGGCGTAGTACAAGAAGGGTGTGATTCTCAAGCTGAAACGTACTGGGGAGGGGGATCCTTCGGTGGGATGGCGACTGCCTCCTCGTAGGGTGGAAGTAGTACCTGAAAGTAAAGCAGTAACATTAGTAAATGCTTTCCGTATACAATATGTTCCCCTTTTCTGTTGTATTTCACTATGTTCTTAGATTAAACAAGACGCAAAAATGAAAACAACAAGAGAATAGCCATTAGCACACATGCTAAAGACACGTTAGCAATGTTTGTCGTGAATATTAGCTTACTGTGCAGTTTATACAATAAACTTCTAACTAGATTTCAAAATAGTATAGGAAACAGAACATATTATGCAAAACAAAAAGTTTTAAACAATAGTAGGCTACATTTTTTTCATATGACTTTGTCACGTTCATCTTGGAAGTAAAATAAATTGTTACTCAGCATGTTTTAATCCAATTTTGTGTAGAAATGTCGCAACTCAACATAATGAGTCAAGAAATCATATCTGATATTACTTCTGGTTCATTTGTCCCATTGGACATAATGGGTCAAGTTGAGAGCATTGCATTGTGGGACATTATTCTAGTCGGCTACTGCATATTTTGGCAAATGTAGCAGGTCATCCGTACAGAGCCCTGCATATTAACATTGGAAAAAAAACTATATCATGTTGGAACAAAAAGGCCACAAACTGAGAATTAATTTTCCACAACTTATTAATTTGTTCCCTCATTTTTAGTTAAATCACGATTTAACTAAATTAAAACAAGGGAACAATTTAGTAGTGTGGCCATGACTTAATTAAAATGAGGAAATAAATTAGTACAACGTGGCCACGTAATCAAATCAAGGGACCAAATTGATCAAATGTGGCCATGAATTAATAAGTTGTGCAACAAAATTCTTAATTTGTGGTCATGACTATTTTTTCTTCTTCATGTCATGTTCGGGGGCTCTGTACATCTGTGTATTTCTTAAAGAAAATGTACATTCTGTACATACTTATTAAGTATCCTGGATATAATATTATTGTTTTTGTTAATATTTTGAATCAGATTTTATTTTAATATTTTAGTTTTCATTTTAATTTTAGTTTTGTTTTTGTCTTTGAGTTATTTCTTTTTTTCATATATGACTTTTTTTTATTAAGTTTTAGTTTTAGTTGTTTTAGTACTTCAACATAAACTTAATGAAAATGAGAAATGTTGAATTGGCAACTAGCTGAAATAAAATAAGTTGTTGATGTTTTTATATTTAATTTTAACAGTAATAATAACCCTGGCATAGTATACATGGTATATACTGAAGATATAATAAGAGTAGCATGGAAGTATGTATTCTGAAAGTAGTCATTGATCTAGGGTGCTCATATAGAAGATGCAGGTTCGAATCCTGCCTGCATCATGCCCAAAATTCCATCTTTCTATTTTCATAATTTCCTAATTTCTTACTGTTTCCATCTGTAAAAATACACTTAAAAATAAATGTAATTATTGTTGCTTTCTAGCAATCTGTAAACCATGGCTGTGTCAGACTAAAGTAAAAAAAAAGTATTTTAAGCCACTCTTGGTAAGAGGTCTCCTAAATGCCTTCACCTGAAATGTAAATTCTGTCTGTCACTGCACAGAAAAGGTCATCCTGCCTATACAGAAAGACCAACCAAAAACATTCTGTTCTGAAAAGGTGAGCTAATTAGTAATATGGTCATGAATGACCTGAGAGGATCACATTCTCACCTTGTCAGGACGGCTAGCGGATTTCAAATGAACCAAACAAGTGTGGACAGTTATGTAACGGCCTGCAGCTGAATAATGAAAAAGCTCTATGCTACTCAATGATCTTTTATTTAGATTCTTTCTGTCTCTTTCTAGAGCATCTGACTACTCATTTCAACTGTGGAACAACCCACAGATTTTAATTAGTCCAACCCCCCCCCATACAAATAAAATGTATCCCTTCCATGCACTGTATGTCACTTTATATAGCGTTTGTCAAATGCATTAAATGCAACTCTTCATCCATGTGAGTTGTCAGTGACTGGAGGGCTTTGAGAGTCAACAGAGAAGCAGGACAGATTGACAGAGGCAGTAAAACGGGATTACGTATGCCAGACAGTGGCGGGATTAGAGGCAGTAGAGGAACACAGCACACTGCCCTCTCTAATGCCCTTCATAAACACTGACTCAACAATACAGAGGGCTTGAGGAGATCGTCATCATGATCCTGCTGCGATGCACGTCAGAACATCCCCTATAGCTGTGCAAAGATAAACTCTATAGCAGACTACATGAGACTGAATCACGTGTTGGGCCGGGAACCAAACTGGATGATTTTCATTATGTTTAGTTTGGTTAATGGTACTTAAACATTTACATTCTTTTGCTGACATATACAGCATGACCAGTTTAGCCTGATTTGCGAACGAATGACTTGTGTGGATCAATTCTTTTCAGTGAATCGATTGATAAGGCTTACAAATGTGTCTTGAGATCAACGTTCTAACTCACTGAATTAGCCTTTCAGATACTACTCAATTCACAATTCACTCACTGATCCATGATTCTGAATCTGATTCATTACTTTGTCCAAATCATAATAAAAGTTAAAGATTTACATTCAGAAGATAATTTTGCATTTTCAATGTTTAATGTTAATGTAATGTATTTAATGTAATTTAAATGTTACCAAAACAATTTTTTATTCTGTATTTTGTTTATAAAAATATAAAGCTCATAGAGTTTTATGGTATAATTAAAGGTAGTATCATTTATTTGGTGTCTCCTTAAATGTACTAAAATAATCATTAATGGAATCAGCAAGGAACTGAATTTATTAAATGGAATCAAAATCTGAAACAGAATAATCAAACCCCTTATGATTATTATCCCTAATCACACAACCATTCAAAAGTTTGGCGTGAGTCTGTAAGTTTTTTTTTTTTAAGTGTTTCTAAAAGAAGTCTCACCAAGACTGAATTTATTTGATCAAAAATACATTATTTTAAAATGTAATTCATTCCTGTGATGGCAAAACTGAATTTTTAGCAGCTTTGGCAAGCAGTTTTTACTCCAGTCTTTTATTTTTATTACTGTTGAATACAGTTGCGCTGCTTTATATTTTTTCAGGAAACTATGATACAATAGAGGAAAAAAAGTTCAAAAGAACCGCCTTTAGTTGAAATAGTTTATGTGTGGTCATTATGGAGACATCTGCAAATGTGAGCGTAAAGAAACAAGACTCCATTTAACAGTGAACGCACAAAAAAAAACTCTGACTTACTGTAGTGTCATTTGTGGTGACATAAACCAGGACCTCTGTAGTGCTTCTTGCGCTGACGTATCTGTAGCAGTTCCACACACAGGCAATAAGGTAAGCCTAAAGAGAAAAAGAGAAAGAACAGTCGTTGATGCTAAATAAAACACCACCATAAATCATGTGCATATGGTTTAAACAATAAAAATAATGAGCCACAGATACACTGCCTTGTCTACACTATTTAATTTCCAGATGGCAAAAAAGTATAACAAGAACATATGGGACAAATAACATGAACATTAAGATTTTTTCATTTAAAATCCATTTTTGTTTAAATTACACACACAGTGACAGTATGAGGTAAGGTGTATATTTAATGTGCTATAACTGGTCACCTTTCGTTTTTTCTTCTTCATTTTTAATCATAACCTTTTATCTTTTTGCATTTACGTTAGAGAAATATTTCACCCAAAATTAATACAATGCTGTGGTCGGTTGCATAAACTGCTTAGACTAGTCTTAATAGTTTGATACCTAATCTGTTTCTGCAAGACTGGTCATCATTTTTTAAAGTCAGTTACATGAAAACATAGATTGATCTACTCTGAATCTGAAAAGTAAGACTGATAGAGACTTGGTTAACTGCTAGTTAGTCAAACTAGTCTTAACGTGGTGACTATGTTTACGCAACTGGCTCCTGACTAATATAAAAAATGTCAACCAAATATCTGGTTTTACTGTTCAAGAAATTTACTCCTTTAGTAAAATGTACAGTAAGAACTAAGTTTCCAACACATTTACCTCTAAATTCAATGATAATGTTCATTCTCAGAGGCATTCAGATTGATTTAGACCAGGGCTGTCCAAACTCGGTCCTGGAGGGCCGGTGTCCTGCAGAGTTTAGCTCCAACTTGCCTCAACACACCTGAATGGAAGTTTCTATGCCTAGTACCTCTCTCTAATGCGTGCAGGCTGTCATAAAGCGATTTGTATCACATCTGAAGTCAGGCTTCTAGAAGGACAACAGTGCTTGTCTGAAGCAGTCATATTCACAGTCATCTTGCAGGCTACTGTGCATCACATCTAGCTATAGCGAACCAAAAATGATCTGGTAGATCACAATAAAGGGAAAGCAGTACAGTTGTTTCACTTTACCTTAAAGGCTAAGATGCATACAACAAAGAGAAGCACTGCTAATACTAGGCACATGTTGTTTGTGGACATCAAGTCCTCTTTGTATGGAAAGGTCCCAGGCTGTTAAATCATAAAGACACATCGAGTCAAAAACAGAATGATAGTTTGCAATAACAGATCTGCAATAGTCAGATCAGATCCTTACCAACTGCTGAAGATAGTCCTGTATAGTGTTGGGGTAAACGACAACACTTATTGCTACCAGTGTGTTAAGAGCAAAGTCAAAGATCTGGTAGCAGAAGAAAGGTATGATCCATGCAGCATGTTGCTGAAAGAAAAGAAAGAAATCATTTTACTACGCAGCACAAACTGATGAATTAAGCATTTGCATTGATTAATTTAGTGGAATCATAATAAACAGACAAATAAATAGTCTTATTTAATGAGTTTCAAAGGATCCTTCAAGCCCAAATGAAAGATCTGTTTTATTAACTCACCCTCGTGTTTGAGTTCAGTGCAAGAAAGAAAGTCTTATGGGTTTGGAACAACATGATGGTGGGTAAATAATGACATTTTTAGGTGAATAATCCATTTAACAAGCAAGTTGTCAAACCTTATATGCACCGTAGGTCGCCATTCCACAAATCAAAATCATCAGCAATGAGATTGCAGCAGCGATACACATGTCTGTGGAGGAAAGACACGCAACATCAGATCTGAACAAGGAATACTGAGTTTAAGGAGCAAAAATGAATCATCTAGGACTGGGTAAAAAATATTAACTGTAATCTGAAATTCAATAATCTAATATAAATTCTTCAAATCCCAAGATTGATCTTTTAATATGACAAGAATTTCACTAAATATTATTTTGCAGCAAACCTGGCACCCAGCAAATTTCACTCGAGTTTCTGCTGAGCTCACTACAAAAATTCAGTTTACCAAATCATGAATGAATGTTTATATTTTTAACATCAACTGTTTTAATAGTGTCGATGTTAAAAATAAATGTTTCAATAATGCAAAGTTAAGAGCATTCTAAAGTTAAGTTCACAGTATCAGTCATAGAGAACTTCTTATAGGCAATAATTCTACGAATTAACTGCATCAACTGAAATGTAGACTGGGCCAAATTAATCTAATAAAATCCAAATCTGACTGACCTGAATGAGGAATTTAACTGAATGTCTACTGAATCAAATTAAGACTGTTAATCAGAATTCAAACAAATCCAAACTTTAGTGGCAATAGCCAGAACTATCAATGAACCGGAAAATATATCTATGTAAAATGTAATGAATTTTGTTATTATGCACTGAAATTTCTATGAAAATGCATTGAAATATATATATGTAAATTGTATAGAATTGTCATTATGCCTTAAAATTTCTTTAAAAATGCTTTGAAATATATCTGTCAATTTTAATGAATTATTAAGCATGTGAAAGTGAAATTAAATATATCTGTGTACATTTCTGAATTATTCATTTATGAACAAACTTACTAATTCATCAGAAAAAGCTAGAGACTGACATATGAGCCAGTAACATTGCCTGCCTAAGTTAAAATTTTAGTAGTTTAGCCTAGTGCTCACAAGACGTTACAGGCACCATGAACTAGTTACCTGACCTACTACAGTGCTGTGTTTCCAAAACAGCCACCAGACTCTCATTTTCTCCAAAACACAGGCATATCTCATATTATTGAGAAATACAAACAAAGCAGCATGCAATGAAGATTTACAGATAATAAAATAGCCTAGGAAGCACATAGTGGAGGAGAACAAGTGAACTAACCCCTGTAGTTTTCAGAAGGGAGATTGTTTGAACACACTGCCAACAGGAAGTTTTCTGGCATTAGTTTATAATTTCCAAATTTTTTTTAAGAGTATGTCATATTATCACTGACATCCTGAATAACTATTACACATTGAGTTCACCTAATGGCTAATATTACAGAGTATTACTCATCTCTGACACTTTTGATTGGGACGCTGTAACTCTATCAAATTAATATGAGCTGCTCATGCTCTCAGTACTGTAAGTAGTACATCGAGTTCAGTGGTGCTGGTCTTTGAAATAGAGCTCCCTCCAGTTAATCCCCTCCATATGTTAAAGGACACTCCACCGTACACTCTGTCTACTTCAGTGCCTATTACAAAACAGTGACGGTTTTAATCAAAGTCACCAGAGCCAGAATCTATAGCTGCACAGACAGCAGCGTTGATGCCGCCAGGAAATACGATAGCAGCCTTTGAGCTATTGCTGAACTTAAAAAGTTGATGATGACTTGTTTGCTCATACTGAAATTTAATAACTATGGGGGGATTAAATGACTCTTGCATACATACTTGCATCGTCCATGACATCCAAATCCGTGCCGAGTTCGGAGCTGGTGAGGTGGTAGTGGTACTGGACTGGGTCATTGAGAGCCGACAATAGTATTAACAAAACCACTGCATTGATGAGCTGAAAAGGACAGAGATTATTAATAAAAATATATCTATATATAAATTGTGTGAAAACAAACAACATCAGCTGAAAACTTGAAATTGGTGATTTATGGTATAAATAAAGTTTTAGAATAATTTGCTCAGATTAACGAAGTTTACTGTTCAGTTTTTCATTTTTCATTAATATCTTGTGTGAAGTATTAACATACAGTCTAAAGTATGTGCATAATTCACTTTCATAATATTTGCCACATAATTATATATATATATATATATATATACACAGTATTTTTTTGCATAATTAACTTACATTTTATAATATATGCCACAACATCATATTAAGTATCCTGCTGATGAGAGCAAAGTCACCAGAGCCAGAATCTATAGCCGCACAGACAGCAGTGAAATACGATAGCAGTCTTTGAGCTCTCGCTGAACTTAAAAAGTTGATGACTTGTTTGCTGCTCATACTGGAATTTAATAACTATAGGGGATTAAATGACTCAAACGTACTTGCATCGTCCATGACATCCAAATCCGTGCCGAGTTCGGAGCTGGTGAGGTGGTAGTGGTACTGGACTGGGTCATTGAGAGCCGACAATAGTATTAACAAAACCACTGCATTGATGAGCTGAAAAGGACAGAGATTATTAATAAAAATATATCTATATATAAATTGTGTGAAAACAAACAACATCAGCTGAAAACTTGAAATTGGTGATTTATGGTGTAAATAAAGTTTTAGAATAATTTGCTCAGATTAACGAAGTTTACTGTTCAGTTTTTCATTTTTCATTACTATCTTGTGTGAAGTATTAACATACAGTCTAAAGTATGTGCATAATTCACTTTCATAATATTTGCCACATAATTATATATATATATATATATATATACACAGTATTTTTTTGCATAATTAACTTACATTTTATAATATATGCCACAACATCATATTAAAATTCTCTCTCTCTCTCTATAAATATATATATATATATCCTCAGAACATTCTACACCTGCACTGTGGAGAGCATCCTGACTATATATATATATATATGTATATATAATTAAATATATTTATAATAAAATAAAATAAAATATATAACATATATATTTAGAAATTATACATAATACTAGACCTGCTGCAAATTTTTTACTTTCCAGACCAAACAAAATTAGTCCCATCAACCATATTACGCTGTTAGCTCTACATAACGGACATTTATTTTTTATTTATTTATTTTTATTTAGTCATTTAGCAGACGCTTTTTTCCAAAGCGACTTACAAATGAGGACATTTATATTAAACATTTAATTAATATGTGACACACATTGCCTTTATCCTCATTCATTGTCTCTGATAATGTTTTGTCTGTGACAGCATTTTCCTTTCGGTGTCAATAAACGTCACTGTAGTTTTTAGGTTAATGAATTCTGCTGTTCCTTGCAGTGCAGAAGAAACTGGAGGTGACCAGAATATTCGCTGCTATTTATTTGTATCTCCTATATTTGTTCGATAAGACAAAACTTCCTTTAGTAACAGTTTCAGCATAAGAATATTGTTCTATTTATACTAGGTAAAAGGGCTCTGGTTTCTAAAATAAGCCTCAATTGATAGATTAAGACTAGTAACTGGTAACATTTAGTGGTTAAATTATTTAATGCGTCTCAGATTTTCTCTTTAATTCTGTATTCATGTTCTGGCAACAGTGTTGTCTATGGCACTACCACAATTTCCTAGGCAATATTATTGGGCATCATATATAGATGTGTGCAGTTTAGGATGCTCAAAAATGCTGTCTAGATAGGCAACACACGGGATTTTTAAAAAACGACCATTTTAATTTTAATTCCCCTAAATTAGAAAATGAATTAAATTAGAATTCTACTAATACAATTACTACTTACTAATCATATTCAAAATAGTTTATGTGGCTATAAAAAATAAACGGCTATAACTATATATGCTGTTATTGAATATAAGAGTTGTATTGACTCACCATATACCAGATGCCCAGGATAATGGTGCCCGTCCGTACATGACAGCACAGGCAGCAGCTGGTCGTGTACCATCTGTCCCACGGAGAAATCATCTTCGACTAGTTCATGTATGCCTTTTTAGCTCGAAACAATATTATTATATTTTATACAAATATATAAATCGATAGATTTTCAGAGCTACAGCTCACCGTCGCAGCATTCGGTCGCCGTTAAATCCTGAGTTATTTCCGTTTCCCGTTACCCGTTACCGTCCTGTTCGTTCCCCACCGCTGCATTAATCCAGCTCATCTCCGCACCACGTGACCGGAGGGGGATTTGGTGTGACGTCATGTGCCCGCTGGTCAAATTCGCTGTGCATATTCGCCGGGAAGTCAAAATTTAGATTTATTTTGAGGGGATGTAAAACATTTAAGAAGATAAAGGTGTGACCTTTTGAGAAAACAATATTGCCATTCTACATGACAAAATTAAGTATTTTACGCCAGATATTTTGTAAACAACATAAAACCGTTGTGGGGCAAGTTGTCACAGTGGAATCTGGGTTTATCATCAAAATGTAAACAGAAAAGTAAACATTAAACACAAAATGTATTAAACACTAAAAATGCTCATATAGACATGGCTGTCTAGGAAAAACAACTGATATTTTATTAAGATCTCCCTTTTTTTTTTTTTTAGTTTATTTTAATTTGTGATCTACATCATACACCTATTTAAATCTTTTATAGTGACAAAACTATCCTTAATGACAGGAGTTACACATGGATATAAAAAAACATAAGTAAAAACCGGAGCAAACATGTCTTCAGACTTATTCTCCCTTGGTTAAAAAAGTGATCATATAATCTTCAGTGTTGATGAGAACACAGGAGGAGAGCAGATGGCCCATACCAATGAGATTCTGTCTGTGTGTGTGTGTTGTGTGTGTGTGTGTGTGTGTGTGTGCGCGAAGGCT